TGCGAGTCCGTCTATCGTAATCCGTTCTTGCTAGATGAGGAGAATGGAATTGGTGGTCGTAACTTCTCCTCAGAGTTGTACTTCGAATTTGGTTTCTGTTGCTCTTCAATAAAAATCATCGAAAGCATGCATGCTGATCACGATAAGAACGTAATGCAAAAAGTAACGCTTTCTTGAGATTTACAGGGCAGATATCAAGTGTACATTGTTTATATGCTCCGTTCAAAAGTGCTGTCATTGTACAAACGTTTGCTGAAAAGTGCTGATAGTTTGGTGTTCACTGACAAGGATTTTTATCGTTATCGAGTTCGTCAAGAATTCACGAAGCGCAAGCATTTGGCAAGTGAAAAACAAATTGCGACGTTGTTGCAAGTATGCTTATTGCTTTTGAATGGCGATTTTTATTGAATATTGAGAATTAATTACAATGATGGGGAGGAGGGATAGAACTGAAATTTGAAGGCGGCTTCTTATTGTTGATTCGAAGAATTGAATCCTCTAACTGGATGAAGGTGCAATAGTTCAATGCGTATGAGATTAAAATTTCATGTAAATGTTTTCCAAGTGTTTTTAGAGGATTGTTACGTCTTGAATTGTGATTTCATTTCGTTTAGTAACAATCAGTTGCGATTCACACTGATCATTATTGATAAACTACATCGTTTGCTCAGTAAAGGAAGATCGTAACTGAGAGAATAGTAAATGTGAACTCAGAGCCATACAATTAATCAAAAATTATCATGAAAGTCTATAAGAGAAGTTACTTCTTGCTAAAAAAAATTCGCCGCCGAACACTCAATATTGCAACTATTGTCATGAGGCAAAATCACACTTTTATCTGAAATGACAGTTTGAAGTGAGTATTTTTCAATGAATTTATGTGCCGTTCTGAAGCAATTTCAAATTACAGAAAGGCGAACGTATATTAGAAGAGAAAAGAGTGATTTGAAAGTTGTATCATCACAAGGCGATAAGCAATAATCAACGAGAATATGGTTTGCATATTGGGTATTGAAGGGAGCGCCAATAAAATTGGTGTTGGTATTGTACGCGATGGAGAGGTATGCAAATGTATCTCTTTTGCTTCTTGAAAAGCATCTGAAAATGCTTGTTCACTCGCTGAACTCAACTCTCAAGTTTGCGATCTGTCGAACGCAAGTGTCCATTTGATGTTTCTACTTTCAAGGTGATCTCGAATCCCCGTGCCACATTCCATGCGCCCGCAGGCCAAGGTTTTCGTCCCGCCGAAACAGCTGCGCATCATCGACAACACGTCGTACATATCGTTATGGCAGCACTTCAGGAAGCTAAAATTAAGGTATTTGATTAT